TGCGGGGAACTCTGCAAAAAACGCATCTTCGCACGGGCAGCCCGTGCGTTGGCCAATTTTTACAAACCTATTCGCTGACTTTACCGGACGGTTTTTTTTTTCATACACCCATTTCATTGTGGATGATCGTAGCCCTCTGGAAGGGCTGTCCATAGTCTCTATTTATGGGATACTGGTAGGGTCTGAACTGCTCGTACTGATCTTCCTATTTTACCCCTCACTGAATTGACCGTTGTTTATAGTCCTGTTTGTGGGCTCTTTACAGCCTTTTCCATTGCTTATAGGGCCGTTACGGCCCGTACTGTCCTTCTTATTTAACCCCCTCCCTTCCCTTCGTCCACCAGGAAATCAACCTCTCAATATTCTATGACCAAACAACCAACTAAAAAGTTGTTGGACTAAAATTTTAGGCAAATAATTTGCAATAATGTTTTATTCAAAAACGACAGCCTAAGTGGGAGCACTTCTGCAATCAATTTAAAATGAGAAAAACCACTGCATTAGCAACTGAGGCAGAGAAAGTACCTCACCGCGATCGAAGTGGCAACGTTCGAGGATGAGCTGTTTTTGCTCAACACACACCACGAGCATCTCGAAATGGCTACAGCTTTGCCGCATACATCCTTTGCGAGAAATACTGAGCTAGTAACCCTCCAAAGAGATGCAGCAAACGCCGGAATGGCTAGCCAAGCTAGCTATCAGGCGATGCAGCACTATTCAAAGCAATTGGAAAAGTTACCAGTTGCATGCTGGAAAATCGGACTGTGATTTGCGGTCAGTCCAAGTATTTCAAGTCAGAAAGAAGGGAATATGAAAGGCGTTGGAACTGTTCATGAATGGAGCTAGAAAAAAAAATTTCAAAAATTTTTTGGCGGATAACCTGCTGGACATGTTGACAGAGCGATGGTATTGCCATCAGCTGGCTGCTGAAATTCAAATATTTGGCCACCAAATTGTGTACTGCAATTCGTTTCGAGCCACTAAAGCCAAACGAGGATTCCAGCGCAAGCGATTGCAGGGCGAATGACAATCGGAATAGCTGGATTAACATCTGCAATCATTTCCCCCGCTCAGATTTTTTTCCAAATCCAACCCTCCTTATATCCTGCCCCAAGCCCTCAACACTGTTTTAACAGGGTATTTTCTTTTGAACTGATGCTAGTTCACAACCGGACATCCAAATTTTCATATGTATATCTCAAAATCAAAATCCGGCAGGTGCGTGTGGAAATGGTGTAAGAGGTTAGCCTGTGCCAACAACAATCACCCGTTGGCAAGACTGTTGATCGGTGCCTGTTGAGAAAGAAGCAAAACGATGGTAGGCTTGACTCACTGGCATATGCCATTTCCATTTCACCACTGAAATCAGTGAAACGAATCACACAGATGCTGATTTTCCTACTACGAATTTAAACCATCAAACTAAATCTCAATAAAAGCACTATTCACCATTATAGCAAATTCTTCGGGCTTTTAAAATACTAAAAAATCAACGTTCACATCTTAGGTTCACATCTCTTCAACATGAATCAGCTATGACAAGGTTTATGCCTGAATCATCAATTTTTGCAGTTTTTTGTACCATAAGCACTACAGATTCTTACTGCTTGTTTCTGACTTATGTTTAAAATGTTTATAGCCTGCCATAAGCTGTGAATGCAACCAA